TTTTAAGTAATTTGTAAAATGTTAATATTTATTTTGTTAGCTAAGTTATATATGGAATATTAATTTCGTTTTTAATATAATTTGGAAACAATGACATTTTATAAAAATAATAAACTAATATAATGATGTGTCATTATACGATTGGAGGACTTAAATCCTACGTGGACGTCCTCAATGGCTTATAGCCTCAACTTTTATACAGTATAGATTTTCCATTTTTTTAATAAAAGTTAACATTTTTATGTAATTTGTAAAATGTTAATATTTTTTTTATAACAGTTAATATTTTTAAATAAGTTGTAAAATTTTCATATTTATTTTTTTAGTTAAATTATATATGGAATATTAATTTCGTTTTTGATATAATTTGGAAACATTAACATTTTCTAAAAATAATACTTTACATTTAGTATATCTAAAAAGACAATAATGTTTTGTTAATACTACGTTTTTAATTTTGATTTTCCATTTTTATAATAGTTAACATTTTTATGTAATTTGTAAAATGTTAATATTTATTTTGTTATTTAAATTATATATGGAATATTAGTTTCATTTTTAATATAATTTGGAAACAGTAACATTTTATAAAAATAATAAACTAATATAATGATGTGTCATTATACGATTGGAGGACTTAAATCCTATGTGGACGCTCTCAATGGCTTATAGCCTCAACTTTTATATAGTATAGATTACCGTAGAAACTGTAATAAATTTTGTAAAGGAGAATAAATAAAAGAAGAACTCGTGAAATGAAAAAAAAAAACATTAACCGTAATCATCTGTTTCTCGTTGACAAAAAAAAAAAGTAATCATCTTTTTCTCACTTCTCAGATTAATTAGTCACCGCCATAATGAACTGTTGCAGGAAATAAGAAAGAATGAAAGTTGTTGTTTCACACGTGTGTTTTACTTGTGCCCGAAATCTTGAATCGTTTTAGTGGCGAGCGTAAGAACGTCTACAAATGCAGAGAAGGATGCTCGGAGAAACCTCGCCTCTAATGCCTCAAAGTGCCTATAGAATTTTATCCAGTGAAGAAAAATCAGAAAGCTAAAACGATTAAGAGATTTGAATACAATGTGGAATTAGTCTTAAACCATATTAAGAGATTTAAATACAATGATGAAGGACTATGAGAAACTCACACAGAAAGTTTGTTGTTTGATATTGACATAACTCTTCTCACTTTATCAGGCTGCAGCTGCAATATATTTTGGTAAAAAAAAAAAAGTTGAAACAGTGTGTTGGAAATAACAAGTTATTATTCTTATAGTGGTGGAAAAGAGAACCTCTTTATCAACATCTAACGTTGTGTATACAATGAAAGCATGTTCTTCTGATTCGAAATTCACATCCAATTTGCTGCAAAATTGGGGGGAAAAACAAAAATCTGTTACATACAAACAAAGATTAACACAATCCCTAACTTGAGTCCATCTCTCATCCAATTTTTTCAATGTAATCGTAGATATTATTATGTGCAATCCTAAACCAATAACTAAGAAGGAAGCTTTAGAAAGCTAGAATGAACCTAACTGAGCGGAGACAAGGAAACTAGCTCGTATTTGCTGTCTATGACTGACTACAGATCGAAAGTTATGATATACAATCAACGAATCCCAAGTTTATAAGAGGCCCAATCACAAAGTAAGAGAAGTTACCAGCTAAAATCCCAAGTTTGGTTAGAAGGAGCAGTTGCAGCCATCTGCTTTCTTCCTTTCGTCAATGGAAGGAGGTTTTAGCACAGACCAAAAAAAAAAAACAATTGAAACCTTTGTTTCGACAAAAGAGCAATACGGGGGGAGACGAAGAGGAGGGTTCGAGTGGGCTAAAAAAGGGTTTAATGGGTTTTCGGCCCAAGAGTTCTCACCGCAATATGAGTTGACGAAAAGATCCTTAACCGTAAACAAATGGTGTCGTGAAGGAGGGAGAGGTATATGCCATGGGAATATTTTGCATGAAGGAATATTACCTTGAGAATCTCGTCTACGGTCTTACTTTAATTAGTTAATTTTGCTATCTCTTCGTTCTTTCTCTCTCTTCTTTTCTCTTCTCTCAAAGCAAGCAGTTCAGCTAGGCATCATCATTCACGAGAGATAATCCTTTTCAGCTTTGGTTTCAGACACCAGGTATGTCCTCCCTCTCCCTTCTCATCTCTTTGTTTTGTTTTTCTTTTGTACCTATTTCAGAACTAGCTCTTGTCTTTGTTCATAATTTTAGAATAAAAGGTTGTTTTGTAACTAGAAGCTTAGCTTCATCTTCATATCATTCAAAACATGGTGAACTTTAATCTACATCTTCATATCATTTAAAGGTTGTTTTTTAATCTACATCAAGTCTCTGAATTCCATTATAGAGATATATAATCTGCAGAAACTTGTTATTCAATTCTCAATCAGAATTCAGAGACTTGTACTATGTTATATAGAAAGAGGTAGACATTAAACATTTAAAGTCTCATTAGAGATTCATGTCTTGTCATTAGAATAGTACATTTCGATCGAGGTAATAGAATATAACAAATGTTAGTCTGTCTCTCTACACAAGTACATATATCAACAGTTTTGTATTTTTTTCTCTCTTCCTTGTAAAAGCAGTGTCTCCTTCTCTAGCTTATGTTTGCATCAAAATTATCTTTACGTTTCATCAGCTTGATCATTGAAGAACTGCATAGTTGCCTGAATGCAAAACTCTGTCAAAAGACGCAGATTAAGATGGGTCTAGTTGTTAAAGTACTATCTTGGCATACTTAAAAGCAGCTGAGGAGCTTACCGGTGGACGAATCGAAATGTGAGAGGTTTGTTGGTTATGTAAGAGAAGGCCCAACTCTGACGGGTTTCACCACCCTGAAAGCTCGTCTTGCATACTCATAAACTAACACAAGAAGACCGAAGAGGAAAAGTAGACAGCGATGAAACTTCTCCACCGAAGAGGCGACACTCTTGCCTTCTGATGAGCTTCTAATAAGTGTTATTCTCCTCTGGAAATAACCTGAGAGAAAACGAAATAGAACAAGCAAGTAACGGAATACTGATGTTAGTCTCGGAACAAAGAAGATGTGTATGGGTCGGTCATAAACAATGGAGAAATTGCTTATTTCTATACCGGGATCTTCCATGGTGAGGTTAGTCCAATCATTTGCTGCTTTCTTCACTCCTGACGCTTTGATCAACTCAAGAAGAGATTTATTAACCTGTAAATTGATCAGTAGTAAGGCATTTTAATATCATTTTCTACAGGTTCTACTGAGGGGCAATTGGGATACGGACAAGAGCAAGAAAAACATGTGTTCCCTCTGTCAATTTATAGCAACCCTATTCCAACAAGAACTCACGATTCCTTCAAGAACTCACGAGCCTCCTGGTAAGTCTGTATAGTTTGCTATCATAACTCACAACGAGGGTTTAGGTAACAATATGATTGCTTGATCAGGTAAATCAAACTCATAGTCAACTTATTATTATTTTCAGATTAGTATGGCTCTATATTCGGTCTTATATCTTTTATGTCAAGTGATGGTAATCAGAGTATGATATCCACAAACATTAACTGCAGATTAAAGGAGATCAGCGACAACGAAGACTCAAGAGAGACGAGAGAAGTTAAGACATGACTAAACTGGACAAAAGAGTACCTCTTCTGTTCTCTCATGGCTTACAAGATGGCCCCCATGAAGATCCACCATTCTAGCAACAGGATATAGCCTCTGCGCTAGTCTTCTTGCGTGACATATCTGAGCAATGACATCATGTCTGCATAAAAACAAACCACATATTCAAAATCAATAGGTAAAGATTCTTTAACCAGATCAAGACTGAGCACGAGATGATTATTCTATTTCTAATTGGATCTGGTGTCACGTACCTTCCATGAATGACTGAGACAAGAAATCCAGCAGAGCGGATACGTTCGATCTCTGGTTTTGTGATCTTGTGTAGCCAACAAGCGTTAAGTTGGCCGTCAAGCCCGTCCTTTGACTGCATTCCAGTTTCTGATATTCCTTTTACATATTGCTGCAAAATGCAAATATTAGTTCCCTTAGATCAGAATTATCATATTTTCTCCGCATTAAAGAGTAATGCTCTCACCTCATATAGGACATCCCGCCTTGTGTTAGTGCCTATACGTTCTTCTAGGTAATCCTGCATATATATATATAAACAGCATAAGAACGTAATCTCCTCACATATATATATAACCAGAGTTACTCTGCCAGCATAATTCTCCATTACATATATGGTTCAGTTTCTTAACCAATGCAATCATCTGAACGTTCGCAACAACAACAGAGAAAAACAGCATCAAGCTTTGCATAGAAAACATGCCTCCAACAATACAGTCCATCTTCAAAACCCAAATCGACAAATCTAATAACAATTGTTTCAGCACATCAAAAGAATACACTGGAAAATATCCACCTGTGAATAATGTGTGTCCAAATCAACTTTTGCTCTTTGTGTAGGTGTCTTTGCCATCCAGAAACGTATCGCAATGGACAAAGTAAGTCGGTCAAACTGAACACAGAAACAAAACACTAAAGTCAGATTTCTTGTTTTTCCTTTGTATCCGAGTGAAACATTATCTATCATAAATGAACAAATACGTGTCTTTTACATAAGAAACCAACAGACTCAAACATATGAACAAAGTCATTGCTATGAAAAAAAGAGGAAGATTCAAGAAACAGCGCCATGTGTTAGGCTAAAAATGTTACCTTGGGGAAACATTCGAAACCACCACCTGTAACGTTAAGCAACGCCAGAGAAAGAATCCGTTCAGGCACCATGGCAGCTAACTTGCAAGCTATCATACCTCCTGTTTAATCCCCACACGAAAAAATAAAAAGAGACAACAATAAGACTTGTTAACGTATCAATCAAAAAACGTCACTTGAATGATAAAAAAAAAAGGTTACCCATAGAATGCCCAATTACATGAGCTTTCTCCCATCCCAAATGATCCAACAAACTAATCGAATCCTTTGCCATTATCGTTGTTCTGCAAAGCACAAATCAAAAAGCAAATTGAGTGTAAACCTAACGAAACCAACTTCTTTCTTCAGTATTGAGAATCAGTCCGCACGTGTAGTCGGATTTGTGGGTGGGCACGGAGCTTCGACCCATACCACGATTGTCGAAAGCACAGACCTCGATGCCTGAATCAACGGAAACGATTCCGTCTCCGTCGTTTGGTTGATCCGTTCCCGTCAACCCCTTGATTTGAGGTCCCCACGATTCATGGGTTCCGGCTAAACCTGAACCAAAACCAAAAAAGGGGAAACATTTGAGCATTTAATCGAAAACCCAATTGAAATCAATCTCGGAAATAAATAAAAAAAAGAGAAAGACCTATGATGAGGAGGGCTTTGGTGGAACCATGACCGTAGGTTCTGTAGAAGATCTTGACGCCGGCATTGTTAAGCGTCGTTTCTGCGTCCACTTGTTCTTTCGCAACCTCGCAATACGGCATCGTTTTTGGCTGCTATTATTATCTTCGTCCTCTTAGAAATCGGATTCGGATTCAGGAACAGGAATAAGAGAAGAGGAGAAGAGAAATTGAAGAACAGAAATGACTTTTTCTTTTCTCTCTATAAAGGAGAGAGAGAGATTGGACGGCAATTGGTTTGGTGGTTTGGTTCGGTTTGGAGGCAGGTGGAGGAAATGACTGCCACGTGGGACTGGTCGGTTGGATTGCGGGTAATATCTAAAAAGTCAACGGTCAAATTTGTCATGAAACAGCTGAGATTATTCAAAAACATCGGTTTGGCATTAATAAGGAACTTGTACCTTTTTGAAAGGTTGCGCTACGAATGATTTTGTTGACATAGTCCCATATGGATTTAGGAGCATATAAAAGATTTGAATATGTTTATTTATTTATTGTCAAGTGATTTAACTCGAGCTGGTTAATACTGTTACAAGTATATCCATAAATAAATTATTATATAGGATTATCTCAAATCAAATTTGAAGCAAATAGTGAACATATAACTGTTCAATAAAAACTGTTGAACTCATGTCTGGAAATGGCTTATACTATAAGCTGTAATACACATTATATACTTCTATTTCATCTATATACATAAATTATCGTCAAGTTTTAACTTAAACATATGTTCTAGGTTATACTCAATATATATATATACATTGACGGAGGCAAGGAGGGAGTATGGGGGTCAGTTGACCCCTATCAATACTAAAATTTACTTTAATTTAAACCTATAATTCTAGTATGTATTGAATAACTGGTTCATTGTTAAGAATTTGATTTATTGTATAAACTCAAAGTATTTCATACATATATGATTTCAACTCCATTGAATTTTGTGTCTACCTCTGCCACTGTGTATATATATATATGTGTGTGTGTGTGTGTGTTAAAAAAGGGAATTCATGTACTTACCAAATGATATGCAATCAGATTAATTTAAAATTCACTGCAAATTGATGTAGTGTTGGCAACCAAACCAACTTGGTGTAAAAACAATAAATAATTTCATAAAATATTCTAACATATTAACTTATTAATAAGAGGTTACTTTATTTTTAACCATTTTATTTTATTTCATAAAATATATGCCTACGTATTGTTCTTCTTCCATTTTTTTTCTTTTTCAAAATTTATTTGTTTAAAGACATTTTTATAGTCTGTCTTTGTTGATGTCAAAAAAAAAAGACATTTTTATTGTTACCTTTTTCAAAATTTCATATATCCTAAAGACAAAATTATATTACTATTTATTTATAATTGTTAGAAACTTTTATAAATTGCATCAATATTTTCATTTGAGAAAATTTAAAATGTGAAATTACAAATTTTGAAACACTTGTTAATAAAATATATTATAGATTTATATTTTAAAATTAATTATGAAAACAATTTGATGCTGATATATTCACTTAAAACTACTACTACTAATAATAATAATAATAATAATAATAATAATAATAATAATAATAATAATAATAATAATGGAAGACAAAAACAAAAACTTGAACTGAAATATGTCACATATCGTCATGGTATGCTATAGCTAAAGCGTCTGCCTTAATTATCTACTATAACTAAAAGCCCTAATTCAGAGCATATGTGTGTGTCCACATCAGATTTTTTAATCAACCAATCATGTGATTCTGTTTTGCCAGCTAGATACCTCTCCCTCTCGAATGGGCTTTAAGAATTGGGCCTGCATTTTTGTAACCCAAACCATTAACCCATTAGGTTAGCTCCCCTTCCTTTCTCCTCTCTTCTACGCCGCTTCTCTGTCGTTTCTGATTCTCAACTTCTCTGTTTCGAAACCTCTCCCCACGATTTGGTGATTCAATTGTAGTCAATCAATGGGATGTTCCATCTTCCTCTGCCTCTCTTCGTTTATAAATCTTAATCGATTTCAGAGGTTTTTCTCATCACTACTTCCAAAGCTTTTCTCAAGATATCGAAACGATGAAATCCCAATCAGCAAACTCCGGTGACTCTGAGTCCGTGAAGAAGATCGACAGCTCCTCCGTGGTTGATCGGAAGAAGACGGTTTCGAAGTACGACGGCTCATCCACACTGACCGAATCGAAACGCCACTGTCCTGGTTTCAAATCCTAGAAGTTGGTCATCGATATCGATGGCTCCTCCGCGATGGCTCCCCAGCCAGATCACAAGAACGCTGCCTCTTCCAAATCTGTCGGCCAAGGATATGTCTCCTCCGAGCTTTCAACCAAACGGCACGGCAAAGGTGTCGTCTCCGATGAGAAAGTCCTCGAGACCATGTTCTTTGCCGACATCGAACAAGGCCCAATCCAAGCCGAGTTGCGGTTTCGCCTCATCCATTTTTGGGAGGCGAGAAACACACGTACGAGAGTTTTAATTGGAGAGGAGATGCTCCTCATTGACGAGAAGGTCCATCTTTTCCTTTCACTTAGTCTTTTAATGTTCCATTTCATTGTTTTGTGTTTGATATTCATTGTCTTAGTGATCGTTTCTTTTAGTTGTTGTTACAATTTCTTCACAAACTGTTTAAATCATATCGTATGTGATGTTTTTAAAACCATGGGTTTGGTTTGTAGTAAGTTTAGAAAAGTTTGGATCGCATAAATAATTACATATTGTACTGGTTTAGCGTAAGTTTTGTTTGGCCTGATTTATTTTAAACAAAAAAACCTTCTCAGTATATACTTTCGCGTACGGGAATTCAAGTGTTAATAAAAAAAAACTTATACTAGAACACAGATGCCAAACCTTTTGATTTACATTTCACACGTCTTTAAATGGGTTTCCAAATTGTTAAGATTACACACGGTCTTTAATGGAGCCTTATGTTTGGTACTCACTTTTATATGGTTAACATGGAACTGCGATTCAAGGCTTTATTCCAGCAGGGCGTGTTCATGCTCATCTGCCTAACTTGAAAGCCGGTTGTGTGTATAAGCTGAGGAACTTTTTGGGATCCAGAAGCAAAGATAATTTCCGCGTTGCTGATCATCATGTTACTGTGACGTTCTCATGGAACTCGGTGCTAACACTTCTTACGCCTGAGCCGGTTCCATTCCCTGAAGACCGGTTTCGGTTTGATAGCCAAGTGGAGTTCCAGGCTAACTGCGACCTGAAAGGAGACCTTTATGGTGGGTTTGATACATTATTTATTTTTTATCATGGTTTGCCGTCTGACACTGTTTGTTTTGCTTACAGACTTTGTTGGCCACATGAAGTTGGTGGAAGAGAAGTCTGTAACCGACTGTCCAAGACTTGGTGAAGCCGACATTGCATCAAAGCGGCACGTCTTGGTTCATGTCCAGACACATGAGTAAGACTAATTGAAGCTTATGACGTATTCCATTTTTTTTATTATTAACATGTTTTCGATTTGTTACAGTGGCCCGGTGATGAAGATGTACCTATGGGACAACGCTGCAGCAGAATTTTGCAAGAAGTTCAAGTCGGATGGAAGTTCTATGGGTGTTCTTTTAGTGACAACAGTGAATCCAAAACGTCTCGGAGGTTAGTAGTATAATGACAAATATTGGTTACTAATCTTTTTAATTTTTTAAGATGTGATTAACGTTTTTGCGTGTCAAGGCATATGTCATAGTGCTTTAATATCATTATTTTAAAATACCCACATTATGTATTACGAGTAGGCACCCTAGCTCTCACTTCCATGTCTTCTTCAAGAGTGTTTATGGACAATGATGTCCATGAAACCAGAGAATACATAGAGTGGTATGTTTTCTAAAACGTGTGGCTTTGTAACATATCCATACCTGAAATTTATATATTGGTTCTTTTATTCTTATCAGGTTGACAGCAAACTCAGAAATTGCCAACAAGGTCAATGCTGAGATTCTGACCAAGCCTGAAATTGTCACCATAAGTGAATTGTTTGCTTATATAAAGCAGGAAAATGCTAAGGTATATTATTTACAAGGTTAGAAATTCATTACAGATTACATTTGTGCGTTTGGATTTAACTTAAACAATATTGTAGGTTTCTTGGTTTGAGTGCACCGCAACCATTGATGATGTGCTGCGGGGCTCAACATGGTATTACATCTCCTGTGGTGGGTGTCATTCCAAAGCAACGAAAGGGGAGAAATCTCTAATATGTACCAATAAGAAGTGCGACAGAATTGAGGTCATAGGCGTTCCAGAGTAAGATTCAGATTTTGTTTGAACCTTTTATTGGCACCAATAGTTACTAATCCTCCTACATGATAGGTACATGGCCAAAATATCTGTGTATGACCAGAGTGAGCAGGCTGTGTTTGTCCTACTTGGGGATGCTGGCCGTGAGCTAACCGGGAAGCATGCATCAGAATTTTTTGCAAATTATTTTTGAGGTAATTTCTTACTACTTGATCAATCCACTCCAACTATTAACACTGACACATGACTAGATGTTTTTTAGATTAATGAGAGTGTCGAAGCTGATGGTGTTGTGCCTGTGCCACAAGCACTATTGGAAACAATAGGGCAGACACATAGGTTTATAGTGAAGGTCTCAGATTATAATCTAACAGGAAATATTCAATCTATCACTGTCACTAAGGTTCTCCCACCAGAACAGCCACATCACCCTATTGAAGATGCTGAAGATGAGAAGACTGAAGGGGTTTGTGGTGGTGAAGCTGTGGAGGAGGTCAAGCGTGGCTAATAAAACTAGGGAGAATTTGTGAAATATCTAAATTTTCAGAAGAAATTAAGTGTATGACTTTGATTTTGACATAATTAGGTAAGTAACAATTATGCTTCTATTTACCCGGTTTTGACCTTCTCTCGTGCAAGTAGCAGGTGAAAGAAAGATGCATAAATGACATTCTATATATAGTATAGTCGACGACTTCATCTTCTTCTCCTCTTCTTTTTTTACAGACATGGTGATACACATTTACTGGCCCATCATCCTTATTCTTCACCATCATATAAAGTTGAAGAGCCATCATCTCTTTTTTTCTATGGCGGCCATATATTTACCGCTCTGCCGTCAAGCATTCACTCAAATCTGAAAACTAATCACTTTATTCCAACACCCATACATACCTTAACACTATATTG